ACAGAGAAGAAACATAAATTTTCCTTGAGATGTGAGAATAACAAGCAAAACAAATTTGACGGATAATAATCGTAAGATTTGCCTGTGCAAACGGGGTGATTAAAAAACAAACTTTGATTGAGATAATATTAATATGTGAACATAGTTTCACGTTAAAATCGGCTTTATTTAGACAATGAATAAGCCCCACAGCATTTCTATTTTCTCTGAACACACATTTACTTTTGAACTAATTTTCTCATCCAACATTTTAAGCAATTGGCTAAAACGATAATCGTTTTAAAAGCACCGATAACTTGTTATGTCTCATTATTTATCGAACTATGATAGCTCACATCACATCACTAATAGAAATCAGCTGGTGTTATTTTCATTTGTGTTCATTTCGACCATCGCAGCATTTTGTAGTGTTTAGTGATTAAAAGTTTTATTTTTATTAGTTTGTTTTATTTTTATATAAAAATTGTATAAATGCTGAACTTATTATTAAGTGTGTAAATGCAAATATTATTAAAGTAATCTGCTAACTGCAAGAAGGCGAAATGAAAACTTGTGATGGCAGCGAGGAATGTTGCAGTGAGTGTGTACTTTATGCATAAAATGCTTATTTACAATTTGTATTCCATAAAAAAATTTATTGTATTAATCTACAAGTAAACATTTCGAGTTCAATTAAAAGCATATTGCATATGTGCCTATAATAAAAGGCGCTGGAATTAATTTAGCTTTGCGTACATTTTAGCCAACACATGCGCGTATGTACATATGTACATTTTTATGTGTGTAAAGTGTATTTGTGCATGTTACCGGCGAACAAATATTCGCTCGTTTCGCTATAAAATCTTCATTAGCGAACAGCTATCGCAGTTAAACACAAGTTTGCGCAAACTGAATACAGGAAATGCGCCGATATATTCTCATTGACGGTTATATATTTAAATAACTGGTAATAACCATCTAGTGCATATGGGCTTGCCCATATCACTGTTATTAATGGGAAAGTCTTATTTAACATTTCTTCAAAAATATATACCCACATGTATGTATGTACATAAGTATCTTTTTAAATAGCCTGTGGCTGCGTTCTACCTGGTCCGAGCAACATATACACTAAAATAAATTCTCTCTAACAGCGGGCGCCCCCATTTGCCTTTCGGAGGCGGTGTAAAACTGTAGGTCCCTCCATGTCTATAAGAATATTAAGACGCACAACACAATTTGGGCAAGCGCTAACAAAAGTGCAAAAATTATTATTATCTTTTAAAATATGTTACTTTACTTTCCAAATTTAATAAATAATTAAGTTTAATAAATAAATCACCAAAACTCAAAATAAATCGAAAAAAAAATACCAACCAATTGAAACATATAGAAAATGGCAAAATTTCTTACTAACACTCAGGGTCTTATGCAAGTGTTAGGTTCCCGTTTTACATTTTTATATGATTGAATTATTTATTAATTAAGCACACTCTGAGTACGAATTTTCCATATAAATACATACATACTTATAAATTTGCATGGTGTTCATAATATGCTATGTACTTATGTATGTATATACACACAAATATACAATCCATAATGTAGTGATAAGGCTGAGCTTTTATTTTGTTGCAGCGCTTGCATACCAAATCAATCAAATGAGTATTACAAAATTTTAATTTTCTAGTTCTATTTCCCAAGTGCATTCATATGTATGTAAAATATCTAAAGCCTCCGATAAACATAATGTTACTGGGACTAAATGCGGTTATCGCTTTTAAATATTTGCATTGCATGCAAAGCGTTAAAAGTATTAGCAAGTATATTCAATATGCGCACTAATTTAAAAACATTTGCATACAACATGCAAAATCTTACACTTGAAGATCAACTGGAAGCAGAGGCAATACACTCCAACGAACAATTGTTATCCTTTGAGTTGAGAAGTAAGGACATACAATGGCAAAAGTATGTAGCACCATTAACACCTCGCATTGCTCCTGTATATCTACAAAGACAATTTCAACTGCTGAGCAATTATAGAGAACCAATTGGAAATCACAATAGGCGAGAAGTTCTAGTCTGCCACGACATGATGGGTAATTATCTTGAAGATCGGTAAGTGCGCTTATAACAATGTTAGTAACTTCGTTCTAACCAAATATACATAATTTACAGGCATTTTCATTCATCAAAGAAGTATGATGACTATCGTTTTTACCATTGGGCCGGTATAGACTATTTTTGCTACTTTAGTCATAATTATATAACAATACCGCCATGTGGTTGGTTAAATGCAGCGCACAAACACGGTGTACGTGTTTTGGGTAAGTACGGCATATGTCCGCCTGTTTTTGGGGCTAAGAGAAAGCGGTATTACTGAAGCGAAACGTTAGAAGTCTAACCTATCTTCGATATTAAATTTTACTCGAAAACGAATTTTGAATCATTTTGCTCCAAGATATGAATCGAGAGAAGTTTTGCTTCCGTATTGTGGCAAAACAATTAATTATTGTTTCCTTAACAGCCCAGGTACTCCTTGTCCTATCTAACATTTTTATTTATTTGTGTATTTTTATGAGGTATGGTTTTTCATGGCAGAAATACTCTCGGAGGTTTTCCATTGCCTGCTTTTGCTTTTCTCTTGTTATGGATGTTAGTCGGAAGCTGGGCTGGATCGAACCCAGGTCCTGTGGAATGGTAGTTCGTACTCCTAGCCACTATACCACAGCGACCGCCATAAGCTTTATGTAAAGAATACTTACCAATTAATACAACCACTTTCTGGCCTTCAAATTTGAACCATTTCTTCGTATTTATAAATACAAACCAAGCTAGTAATAATGTTTAAATTTTTAATAGGCACTTTCATCACCGAAAGTGGACACGCTTCTTTATTAAACGAGGTTTTGCAGTCAACAGATATGGTGGACAAGATTGTCGATGCCATGGTGAAGCTATGCAAACATTATTGCTTTGAAGGTTGGCTAATTAACGTCGAATGCAGAGTTAAACCTGAGAATATGGAAAACCTTCAGTAAGTATAAATATTTATTAATATACAAATCAATCTCAAATCTGCAATTCTTTCCAGCTACCTCGTAGAACGCTTACGCAATAGCGTGGAAAAGGAAGTGGACCACGGTGTGGTATTCTGGTACGACAGCATTATTGATACTGGCGAATTAAGATGGCAAAATGAAATTAATGCCAAAAATGTGCGTTTTTTTCATACCGCGCATGGTATGCTAATCAATTACACGTGGAATGACAAAAGTCTTGAGATGACAACGGAAATTTGCGAACGCTCACAATCTCAATGTCAACGTGCTTTTTTTGGCATCGATGTATTTGGACGTGGTCAGGTTGCCAAATTTCAGAGTAAACAAACTTTAGCACGCATTGTGAGTCACCGTTTTTCTACGGGCATTTTTGCGCCAGCCTGGACATATGAAACACTGCAAATGTTTGGTTACAATATAAAACAACCCCTGGGTGATGACAGCGTGAACGATGCTTTTTTGCGACGCAACGAAAAATTCTGGTGCTCTTTATGGGAACATATAGCCACACATCCCTACAGCATATTACCCTTTTATTCGGACTTTTGTTTGGGTTCAGGAAAACGCACATATCTAAACGGTCGCTCAAAAAGCAGCGGGAGCGGCAGTGGTGGAGGTGATGGTGAACAGTTTTTTAATTTATCACAATGCTCGCTGCAACCTTCAGTGCCGCTATATCAGCTGGCAGAACGTTTCTACGCCGATGGTTTTAATGGCGGATCATGCTTGCGCATATTACAGTACAATAATAGCTTTCGTGTTTTCGTTTCCGATTTTCGATTGCAAAGTGGGGGCTTAGTTTTCGCATACGCTTACAAACTACATCCAAATGATGGGGAATTTGATTGCATTTTGCGTTTCTGCACTAGGAATAATGCACGTGATTGCTATCTATTCATGGGCGACTACTATAATACAACAAATTTGCAAAAAGGACGCTGCTATGTATCACCAATAAAGTCAAAATACAATGATTTATTGGCGAGAAATACGCTAGATACACCAAAAATACCCAAAGAATTTTCACTTCCAGAAAATGCGCCAAATGGTTGGCGTGTACGTTATTATGTAGTGGCGTTCGATGGTGCAATTCAAGTAAAGGATATTGGTGTGTTATATCGGCGAAGTACAGAAGCGACAGACACTGCCTACCTAGGAGCGGTTTACCTAAACGAGTGTGATGTGAATACACTTGAATTTCCACAAGATAGCAATATTGCATTGATCCAAATTTATGGTGAGGATTTGCTTAATTAGCTTTTGAGAAGGTAAGGCTCAATGGTAGTGTCAAAAGTCAGTTGACGACGCACATGACTTTTGCTTAGTTAGTATTGTATTTTTACTATATGCATACATTTACACGATTTTGTAAACAAATTTTATACTGTTTTTTACAATTAAAGCATAAATCAATCTAATTTTATTTAAGAATCGCTGTACTTTTTTTTTAAATTACCGACACAAGCAACTAGTTCGATGTATTTGCTTGACTAGCGTCTTTCATTGCGTTGCATCGATGAGATACTGTTATGAGAATTTATAAGTATGCATATGTAAACAACAATTTACCCACCAGAATGGCCTCAACATGTGGAAATCACGTTTTAAAGAAGTCGTAGTTTTGTGTTAAATGGCCGCATATTAGAGAACTAGGCCGGACAGAAATTTAAGCACCGAAAGTTAAAGTGCAAAGTGGGTTTCGACACCATTAAACTAAACATTAAAGTTGAATGTAAAAATGCCGAATACGCCTATTTGCAATTTGAGTCCCTTACTGTCAACATTTGTTTAGCCTACGCCCATGTTGTGTAAGAGGATATTTGACAAGGCTTTGTCGGAATATGCTCTTAAGTTGCTTGACTGTTTGTGTCAGCATGCATTACCTCTCAAAAACACAAGTACTTAAGTTGACTTGTTGAGATTGTGCCTTTGTTTTCCTTAATGCAAAACCACGCACACTTTTTTACGCTTGTATATGATAGTGTGGGCTTTGGCTATGAAATATTGCGATGTATATTTATATGTATGTATGTACATATATTAGACTGCCTTACTCTCTATATGAATAAAATTTGCTCCTTTCACAAGTGAAAAATAAAATTTGGCATATTTTTTGGCACGCCGAAATATTTCAGCTCAATTGGAGGTGACCGCCATTTAAAGGAAACGATTTTTTTTCCATGAAAATCTGTATTTATGAAAAATATTTCCAAAAGTCACGAAACGCAACGCGTTAAGCTAAAATGTTTTAAAGAAACTCAAAATGAATGTCGGAAGGAAATATATTTTTGATGAAACTTTCCCAGTACATAATTTCAGGAGTTAAAATACCTTCCAAAAAGCCTTCCTAAGAGTCAAAACTTTCACTCTACATTCCATTCTCATTAATCTTTCACAGAAAAGATTTTGCAGGGTGCTGCTTTTTCAAGATATTTATTTAAGATATACATCAAATACATTTTATTGCAACCTAAAATGCAAATTCCTTTGTAATACTAAAAATTATAAACAAGTGCCAGCCTTATACATATGGACATTTGCTAAATTGTGAATAGAAAAAGCCTTTCTAGAAGGCATGCAGGGAGGGATTTTTTCAGCCCTCTTGTGTACACTTTTTAGAATGGCCACAATTAATGAGGCATACATAAGTTATTTTCTGGGTTGAAAACTGATATCCATTAAGATACTATAGTTGAAATTGATATGAACACTTTATTGAAAAGTTGCAGGAAATTGCATTAAAATTGTTCTTAGTTTAGAAAATGTTGGCAATTTTCTAAAGAAAAGCTTATACATACATACATGCTGATCCCTTTAGGGTTGTCTGTCACTGATCTATCATTAAAGAGAAATTTCGTTATTTGCTTAGGGAAGCCGCAACACTTTTCACGAGGTATCCTAATATACATACATACATACTGCACATTTGAATATACCATATTTATATGGCCATAGGTATTTTTATGGGCATATCGTATGTCTTAACAAAACTGTGTAAATAATTACATATGTACATATAGTTGTATGTACAAAAGAGGCTCCTTGTTTAGGTACGCATGCATTCAGCTCACAGTTTTGTTTATGTAGTACTTGTATAGTTCCTGTAGCCATTGTTGCTATTGACAAGATAAGCTCCAGTAATTGTTAATACCATTTTTATAAGCTACATACATACACACACATATAATATAAGCACATTTATGACTTTTATATCCTTTAAATCAATAGCACGCGTATCCATGGCTCCAAGTACATACATATTTAGATATACAAGCATACAATCATACATAAATTAACATCAGCGAATGCCAAGTATGTGCCGCTAAAGTTTGTTTGTTCACACAAAAGTTAGGTCAAACACACACTTTCTACCACTTGGCCGATGCAGGAAAACACTTGGCTGAAAACCATGCATATATCTACATAAATATGCATACGTGCGTATGTACATATATTCGGATATAAACACACCATATACATTTGTACTTATTTCGAAATGGGGCATCAACGCATTAGTGCTCTGACATATTTTATGAGATCATGCACATATGAACATATGTATGTATGTAAAGATGTAGAATCCTATATGTACATATGTATATATTTTGCTTAATGTATATGCACTATGAATCCTCAAGAGTTCGCATAAGTCATAATTTTGATTTTAAAGCCATTGATTTGTCTTTGCCTTTCTAGGTAATTACACATCAATGAAATGCCATCTTAAATTCACTAAATTTAAAACTACAAGTATGAGTCCATACATACATATGTATATACATATGTATATAATCATTTTGGATTTGCAAAATTAGTATTTCACTCACTTTTTAATAAAAAAAATTTGCAGTATTTGTTATACTCCTTAGATTCGTTATTACCCGTAATTGTAATTTCTTTTAGTATTCATTCAATAATTTATGAAACTAAACTAAACACGAATTATGATGATTCTTCCTCTTGTAATGCACATAAATCATTTGTTTTATATGTATAGGCTTAGAGCCGAATTTGTCCCGCTTTTAGGCTGCCAAGCCCCAAAAAGCACTAAATACCTTGCTTCGCGTGAGAGAATAAACCGAAAGCACATTATCCACTCCCATGGATACAATAAACTCAACTGATGCTGCCTACTGCTGGTGCACAGCTCTTCAATTCATTTTCCTCTTTAGGTGGCATGATGGTGCTGCTGCTGCTGCTGCCAAGTCGGTATTTAGGGTTGCTGGATATTTTGCTGACTAAACTGTTTTTGTATGGAATGTCTTCGAAAGGCGTTTTCTCTGACACAGTGACGTGCAGAGAAGCTGTTAGTTGGCGAATTTTCTTTGAAACTAAAAAGCTTGCGTATCCCTATTGAAAATTCACATAGACTTTATACCTATAAAGAAAAGCCCAAACAAACCTTTTTAATTTAGTAATAAGTGTATAAGCTATGCTCGTTCTAGTGTAAAGGGTAATTAGGGAAATAATTTAAAATTTAATTCGCTGAAATAACAAACGACCCAAGCAAAGACTGGCCAATTAATTTGAACCCTTAGTGAAATCATGAAAATCTTGTAAACCATTGCATATTTTCTGGTTACATGAATTAAATTTTCTTCTGCATCCCTTTACACACTGCACTGTGTTTGTAATACTCGTACATGCATGCATTAAATTTCAATTTCTCATTTACTGTTGCACGCCGTATGTTGCGAGTATAAAATGAAATGGAAAAACACTTGGGGGGGTTGAAGAAATTTCACTGCGTTCTGTTTTACAGCGCTGTTATGTTTATTGCTTCAGATTTGACATTTTTGTGTTAGGCAGCAGTAGTGGGCTTACCCCATTTTTTCCCTGCGTCAGCAACAAAATGCTCTTCGATTGAGAGCAAGCAACAAAACTGAGAGCCAAAAGCTTATTTGTGCTTTAGTTCGTGACTGCCGCTGTGAAAGTATTTTAATTGTATACATTTTGTGGTCCCTAAAAGTAGATATGTGATAATTTTTTCGCAAACTATTCATTGTTTTATTTAAATATGCAGTCTATTACTAAAAAATTAATTTTTTCAATTTCTTAAGATTTCAGCCCATTTTTTTTTTACATTTTTAGCTAAGTACATTAAGATTTTTTTATTTTTAAGTTTTTACCATTTGTTTATTTATTTTTTCGTGAATCATTTTGTACCTACCGGTATTCCTGTGATTATTGAAGTCGGTTGGGTTTTTTATTTAAAAGTTGCTTGTTTGGCTCCCTCGAATATCTGTTCTAGGCGGGAAAAGTGCACACTGAAATATTCATAGATTTTATGATCATTGGTTTAAGCATTTATTTACCATGTTTTGTATGATTTCCGCATACTTTCCACATTGGTCCGGAATTCATTGACATCTACAGTGGCGGGAAAATAAATAAGGACGCTGCATTTTAACAAGTTTTGACTATTTGTGTTTTGTTTATTTAATGTTTACTATTTTTTATGAAAGTATTGCTTAACATCCAATAAAAACCATACTTAAGTTTTTAATCAGAATTTTTAGAAAAAATATGTAGGCATTAAAAAGAAAATTAAAAAAATTTCGCTTACTTTTTTTGGCGTAGGACTCGGTATGTCCGACAATTTTTTTTATATGGAGCAAAATGTACAACCCCACCAGAAAACAATTGTCTTAAATCAACGGTAAATTGAAAACTAATGGGCAACAAAACTCCACATCAAATTTGTTTTTAACTCTAATTCGGATAAAAAACTTAGAAATTTTTATGTATCTTTTTTGAATTTTTGCTCATTTTTGTAAAAAGTTTGAAATTCGGACCTGCATGGTTTTTGTTAGATAGTGAGACAAACTTTTATAAAATTTAATAAACATTAAATAAATAAAATAAATATAGCCAAAGCTTGTTAAAATTTTACATACATAAGATTTCTTGAAAAAGCCGTCTAAAGCCAGACATTTGTAATGTCGCTGCAAGCAGGTTTGCTGGTCATCAAATGAATGACTGGTAATTATGGCGACCTTCGTAAAAAATTTAGCCTTTGCTCTATTATCCATTTTGTTTTTTTTTCTTTAATTCATGCGGTTTTGGGGCAGAGTTGGACAGTACCTGAAATGAGACTAATAATAAGCTTCTTCAATTATAAACTCCATCTCCCGCTCTTCCTCAGCCAAATCGAACTAGTCTAGATACTTGCTGTGTTGGCTGTGATCATCGCTTGATAAACGGAACATAAAGCTTCTTATGCGTGGCAGTCAAGTTAGGAGACAAGGAAAAGATAGAATCCGTTTGCCATACGAATGTGTTGCACTACGAAGAAAGTGTCCAATATTTCTGGGAACCATTTCTTTGAGCACCGGAACATCTTAGGCAACGTTTCACTGAGGAAACTGTGGGGATTCTTCAAAAGATTGGGATGATTTAAAAAAAAGAGAAAAAACAAACGAAATATTTCACCAGGAATTAATTGCTCTGTTTTTGGTATAGGATCGGCTAGGTATATGGCAAAGTATGTATCCACCTGGATAAACATTAAAACATTTCTCTGATCCGTTTTTACCCTTTTATGTTTTTAACTGTTCCTTCTCTATTTTCTGCCTATATATGTACTTATTAACTTACATACAAATGTCACAAAAGGTTAAGGCAAAGAAAAACGTCTGCTTTGCATTATTTTGACCTGGCTTCAAATAGGCGTTGACTATTGATTTAAATAAGTATTTACGTTAAGGCTGTGCCATGTGTCGCTTTCACACATACATACATACATATTATTAAATAATTAATTAAATTAACATACAAAAATTCACACATATTTACATATTATTAAATAATTGATAACTGAGTCGGCCACCCCAGCTGAGTGGTTAGAGGTGCGCAATTCCACTCGGTAAGACCAAGGTTTGATCTCTGGTCAGAGCATCATTCGATTGTATTTCAGCTATGAAAAAGCTTCTTATATAATATCATTGACAATTCGGAGGCGTCTTAAAACTATAGGTCCCTCCACCATATAGGTTACACCATCGAGACGCACAGTACAAATTGGAGAGTAGGCATGGATAACATAAAGATTATTGAGATGAGCCACTCCAGTAGAAAGGGATTTAATTTTTGTGTATTTTAAATTGGATCGTTATTGCAGAGGACCATCAATATGTATCTCCAATTTTCACAAAAACTACTAGATAGGTTGTATTTGTAATTTTTTGTGTAAAACGCTTTAAAAGACCTATAGTAGAATGAGACAACAATTTTTTTCCTAGAACACTTTAACGCTTAGCTTCTACCAGAAGTAGTCCTTTGGACCCATTTTTGTAAAAAATTTGGAGAGTTAAAATGTTAAGTAAAAATGTTAGTCATAAAATTTTACTAGGGGTCACCGAAAAGGATAATTTTCTGTGAATTAAGGGGCAAGTGGAAATGCATAATATTTCATGTAAAAATATATCGTCACCTGAAATGCAAAAGCAGTAAGCAATAAATATTTGTGGCATAAAACGATGTGGGGAATTGTAATTCGATGAAATGCATCATATCAATTATAATGTAAACTTAGATTTTTTTTGTTGCAAAGGCCTTTGGAATTTCATGTAACGATATGTTCCTACTAACCTTGGGCTGCTTTTGCCTGATATCCTAAAATGTCTGCTTCCCTGCAGAAAAAAATTTGACGACCACTTTTGTTTTCAAGTTGTCGGCGATTGTACAGTACTCCGAGTATCGCAAATCAAATTTTACATTACCTGCGACTAGTATTAAAAGATTAGAACACCATGCAAAAAATGTCCAGATTACCAATTTTTTTTTTTTAAGTTTGAGATTTTGATGGAAATTGGTTGAATTATTATAAATTTGTATAAAATTTGAAAATCAAATTAAAATACATGCATGGTTTTTGTATAAAATATGCTATATTTTTATGAAAAAAATAAAGAATATTAAATAAATTAAAAGAAAAACTATCAGTATTGAGGTTCAAAAGGGGATGCTAATCAAGTGGCAGGCACTGTACGTACGTACATACATACATAACGAATTCTTATACTATTCATCAACAACAAATCAACGATTCGCCTTATTACACGTCAACGTAAAGCTTGCATGTTTTTATACGTTTCTGACATTAATTTACTTTTCAATTGTGTATTAATGTCAGTGACATTAATTCCATTGACATTATTGTACGTCACCGAAAATTTCACGCTGAGATGCAGTGGTGGACAAAATATTAAAAACAAAAAAATTTAACTTGCTGATTCTAGTTTTTATAAAAATTCTGGATATGTATGGGCTACAAAATTGCATACTCAGAATCTTTCTAGGAAGTCTAATTAAATTAGCTCGAAATTCTTACCAAAGTTTTTTGATTTTTTTTCAAATATTGCACAACGTTTGAAGCTTGGGTTTACATGGGTTTTGTTCAAGAATTAATTATATTTTTATAAAACAAGTAAGAAAGTCTAAGTTCGGGCGGAGCCGAACATTAAATACCCGGCGCAAGTATTAAATATATGTTTTCCACCTTTCCGAAAGCTACCGCTACATGATAAGCCGGGGTGTATAAATATTAAGTAAATTAGCGTCCTTAAATTTCGAAATATTGAAATTTCAAGCATTTCTGAAATTTACCGTTATATGAAAAGCGGCCGTAATTTTAGTCCGATTTCAACAATTTTCAACTGTTTGCTTATCTGTGGCAAGCACAATAACCACACCGAGTTTGGTAAAAATTGGTAGAACGGTTAGCGAGATACATATGTGTGATCATAAGTGGGCGGTGCCATGCCCATTTTCCAAAATTTTATCATAAACATATTTCTTGGTAAAGAATTGTTGCAACCATAAATTTCGAATAAATTAGCTTTAATATTTACTGATTTATCGAGGATTTCGTATTTCTCTAAATTACCGTTATATGGGATGAGGGCGTGGTTATTGTCCGATTTTAAAAATTTTCGGCCGTTTGGTATGCTGTGCCAGGGCCAACAACTGTGCCAAGTTTGGAAGAAATTGGTGCAGCGGTTACCAAGATATACACATGTAACCATAGGTGGGCGTGGCTACGCCCATTTTCCAAAAATTTTTAATATTATTATTTATCGTCTAACAATCATTGTAATTATCAATTTTGAGTGAATTATCTTCAGTAGTTACTAAAATATCGCAGTTTTCGTATTTCTGAAAATTACCATTATATGGAAGGTAGGCGTGGTTATTGCCCAATTTAAAAAATTTTCAATGGGATTCTGTGTGAAACTCTGAGCAATATTCGTAAGTGGGGATTGGTAAAGCGGCTACTGAGATACAGCATTTCAGCATTGCGTCTGACTCGCGAGTCGGTTTGGATATATTTGTGAAAATAAATATGTGTTAGTTACACCGACATGACTCTGAATGATTCGACTGTGTGTAGTCGAAGGCAAGTCAACACGTACACAAATGACTCGCGAGTCAGACGCACCTTCTATGGTGCCTATAAGAGCGTTTTTGTACGATTTTCGTGCCAAAATAAATAAAATCTTTCAAACTGTTTTGTCTACGGTTTTCAATTGTCTTACAAAAGACTTGCAACTATATAGGCCAGAATTGCCCTATAATATTTGAGATATAAAATCAGGACGATTTGAAGCTGAAGATCAGTCATTCTTTGTAGCTCCACCCATTTGTAGGTCCAAGATGTGTCAAACTTGATGAAGATCAATTTGCACGTAAATATTTTTAAGTGTAACTATATATCGACTGGTCCTCTGTAATAATGACACACTACCGTTAAGTGCCTCGGTTAGTATTGCTTGTCTAATCCATGTCTTATCCTTGCTAAAGTAAGTAAAAATTTTTACTAAAGTAAATAGTAAGGATTGGATATAGATTAAAGAAGAACTAGAGACATGAGACAGTTAGCAGTAGTAGGGGTTGGGTTTTTTTTTTATTAATTTTTATACCCGAGCGCACTTGTGCACAAGGGTATTATAACTTTGTTCACATAACGGTTGTTTGTAACAGGCAAAACGAATCGAGATAGATATAGACACATGTATACATAAATGATCAGAATGAAAAGAGAAATCGATTAAGCGGTGACTGTCTGTCCGTCCGTCCGTCCGTCCGTCCGTCTGTCCGTCTGTGCACACGATAACTCGAGTAAAAATTGAGATATCTTAACGAAACTTGGTACGTGGACTTCTTTTGGGCATAGGACGGATGGTATTGAAAATGGGCGAAATCGGACAATAACCACGCCTACCTCCCATATAACGGTAATTTTCAGAAAAACGAAAACTGCGATATTTTAGTAACTACTGAATATAATTAACTCAAAATTGATATTTACAATAACTTTTAGACGAAAAATAAGAATATTATAAATTTTTGGAAAATGGGCGTAGCCACGCCCACTTATGGTTACATGTGTATATCTTGGTAACCGCTGCACCAATTTCTTCCAAACTTGGCACAGTTGTTAGTCTTGCTACAGCATACCAAATGGCCGAAAATTTTTAAAATCGGACAATAACCACGCCTACCACCCATATAACGGTAATTTGGAGAAATACGAAATCTTCGATAAATCAATAAATATTAAAGCTAATTTATTCAAAATTAATGCTTGCAACAATTCTCTACCAAGAAATACGTTTATGATAAAATTTTGGAAAATGGGCGTGACACCGCCCACTTATGATCACATATATGTATCTCGGTAACCGTTCCACCAATTTGTTATAAACTCGGTATGGTTATTGTGCTTGCCACATAAAAGCAAAACGTTGAAAATTATTGAAATCGGACTAAAATTACGACCGCTTTTCATATAACGGTATATTTCAGAAATGCTTGAAACTGCAATATTTCGAAATTTAAGGACGCTAATTTACTTAAAATTTATACACCCCGGATTATCGTGTAGCGGTAGCTTTCGGAAAGGTGGAAAACATATATTTAATAATTGCGCCGGGTATTTAATGTTCGGCTCCGCCCGAACTTAGGCTTTCTTACTTGTTATTTGTGTCGTTATTACAAAGACCACCGATATGTATGTACAAACAATCATCATAATCGAGGCTTTGTGCTTCTGTAACACTTTACGACAATACTCATGAAATTTCACAATTAAATATTTGAAGGATTAAATATCTGCATATAACCCACTTCATACTTATAAAAATAGCAATACCCAATTGTGAAATTGAAATTTGTTAGATTTTCACTGCAGGGAACTTGCGATCGTTCGTTATACGAGTGCCACTTGAGCAAAAATACATATGTATGTATGCATATAAGAACGTATTAACATGTATGTGCATAGATACATATGTAGCTATTATACTATATGAATTTTTGCATTTTTCAATAATTGCAAGAGCCGTTCGATCAAAAACAAAGCCGGTCTATCTCGCCTACTATCTACGAATACAAACATACTTACATACCATCGGCGGTACTCTGGCAAAATCTGGTATCTCAGAAATCCTTACTACACCCTCGTATCTCGTAAAATTAATTCAAAATAGGGCTTTAGATACTATGATTCATTATATTTTGTTCTTAATTAACTAAAAAAATACTTAATCATTAATTTCCAGAACAAAAAGTTTTAAAAATGATTTTTTGTTTTTAATAGAGAGTTTGTTTGTTAGATATTATTTTGAGATATGAGGTTTTGCCAAAGCACCGTCGTCTATATGCTCTCTTATCGCATATTCTATCCAGTCTCTCCAGTGCAAAACCTATAAATACAAAGCTTATTGACTCATTTACTAGGTTCATTGTAGCCGGTCATCACGCAAATATATTTCTACTACATTTTCTGCTATAACTAACGAAAAAAGTCAACGAAAATGGGTAAACTTGTTTTGTACGGTATGGATCCCAGCCCACCGGTGCGCACTGTTCTTTTGGTGTTAAATGAATTACAATTGCCATATGAGTATAAAGTGGTGAATTTACTGGAACGTGATAATCATAACGACGAATACCGCAAACTTAATCCACAAGGTACAGTGCCAACGTTAGTGGACGATGGACACGCCATCACAGATTCTCATGCCATAATCGCCTACTTGGCAAGCAAATATGGCAAAAATGATTCTCTATATCCAAAGGATCTGGTCAAACGTTCAATTGTCGATCAACGTTTATACTATGATACGGGCGTGATTTTCGAACGTGCCCTACGTGGAACAACAAAACCCATTATTTTCGCCAATCAGACTGTAGTGCCAAAATCTCAGATCGAAATCATAGCTAATGTCTACGAAACAGTAAACGGTTTCCTAAAGGATCATTCATACGTTGCTGGTGATCACCTGACGCTCGCTGATCTTTCACTGATACCGGCAATAAGTTCTTTGCAGGTATATTTGGATATCGATGCTGTTAAATATCCGAATTTGCTTGCATGGTTCAAACGTGCCGAAAAGTTGCCCTATTACGAGAAGGCAAACGGCAAGGGACTGCAGCAATTTTTCGATATAGTCAAGTCAAAGAATATAAAAATCGAGGAGTAGTCAAAGTTGGTGGCGTCACTCATATTGCAATTAATGCAAAATTAAAAAAAAGTGCCTGGTGAGCAAATGCATACATACATATGTACATACATACATACATACATATGCAAGTACGTAGGTATTTGTTTACAATCAAAATGCCCACTCTGCGTTTGTGTTATCTTGGTGCATTATTGTTCAAACACTTTGTATCACATGAAAAAATATTATTTTTAGATAATGGAGTTTTTTTTATCAAAATATGTATAAATAAATAAACAGCTTAAAAATACTTGAACAAGGTGTCTTTATTTCATACGTAAGTAATAGTTGCGTTCGTGTACCTGTTAATTGTTCAAAGTTAACCAAAATTTTCAGGTTGTTGCGTTCGCGTACGCAAAAAACTTGCAAAGTAGGGGAAATTGAGGGGACAAAGTGGCATTTCATTTTGAGAAGAAGCTGCTGGTTTCTGCTGGAAAAAATTTTGCCAACAGGAAAACAGCTGATCAAAAGCAGCTGGTTGGAATTTTCCCAAATCACAAAATTGAATTTGATGGTTTGGAAGTTAAAAATGGCAAAATACGACTAATTAAACTTGTAAGAAGTAAGTAGTTATTTGTTTAATCAATAAACTGTGTCAGGATAACACGTTGTGATGAGTTTTCGTACGTTTTAAATTTTCACTATTGAATGTAAACAAAAATTATATCAGCTATATCGTCTAACTTGCAAGTTTCTGAAAATTTCCTGTTCGCGTACGGTTTTGGATATTTTTCTCTTGTGAGAGCACTGGTGGCATTTCGCCGTAATTTTGCTGTTGGATGTTTTTTACTGGAGATTTTAACGCGAACGCACCTAATACTATATACATACATACTTACATATGTATATAAAGTACGCTTGTTTGCAACAAAAAAATTTGACTGATTCTACCAGCAGGGTGAACAGCTGATGTTCGATTCTCTGTTATACTATGTTATGGAGGCGATCACGTCGATAACGATGTTTAACCTGCAAAGTCATGGTACTGATTATTTGTAAGCTTGGGTGTATAAATATACTACTCAACTTAATCCCAGTGCTTACCCTATATTTTACTTCATTGTTTGCGCCCAGATATATATATCTGTGTTCGTATGGAAAAGTAGCTTATGTCGAAAGGCTGGCTTTAGTATAAATCGGCATTCGCAGCATACGATTGCGAATGACTTACGGGCGCTAAGCCGTTAAACAACTTTTAGCAAATAAACAGGCAAGAAATAGTTCCGCTGCTAGCAAGTCAATATTCTTTTTAAGTCTCATCAAAAAATTCCTTGTCGTTTAAAAAATAAAGGGAATGCCGCATTATACTAAAGCCGGCCTTTCGACATAAGCTACTTTTCCATACGAACACAGATATACATATGTACTGTCTTCTCAACTACCCACTTAATTCCATTTATCGCGTGGCGTTCGTCGTGTAAATGGCTATTTAACTGATTCTTAATAAAATAAAAAACACAAAAGTTTTTACGTGATATGTTAATTTATGTAGTTGTGTAGTAATTTAATTTGTTTTATTCTAAGTTAAAAAAATTGTACACCTGTCGATACCTACGCTTAGATAAATACACATATGTATGTATGTAAATACCTAAGTACGTACATACATATGTAAACATTTTATAGGGTGATGTAACCCAGTGGGAATTAGGAGCACGTAATAATACCTTATTAGCAACTTACTCTTCACCTGGCAGTCATTACCATTTCCCTGCCGAACGTCCCTTACTTTTACAAAGGCATGGCCGCCTTATGTTAGTAGGAATTTAGAATGTACATTTGGTATCAGATATACTTCTGAGCCGCTTTACAAAGTAAGTTACGTGTAATGCAGAGCAGTCGCTCGGAGTAGTTCGGTGCTTGGAAATAACTTCGGCTGCACGTTATTTTGCAACTGACAACGTAATGTGTCTTCGGAGGTGTTAATTTTGCCCTTTACTAGTAGATGACATTGGCCATGATGACAATTTTGGTACTAAAAACTGAAAGAAAACATGGCTTACCTCGCAAGGTGCTTACCTATTTTCCCAGTGGGAATATAATTAACTTTGTATGTATGTATGTATGTCGACAAAATGCTTAAAACTAAATTTTTCTTTTTTGATAACCGTTTGTCGGTTTGATTCAAAACTAAAAAAAAAAACTTCGCGAATAGCATCACTCACAGTTACGCCAGCATTTTGCTGATACGCGGTTTTGCATTTTGTTGATACGCGGTTTTGCACTTTAAACGACGATATGTAACTATGCGGGCGAAACACTTTGGTAAAATTATTATTGGAAGTCTCCTTAAGGGAAACACCTCAAGTAGCACACTGGTGTATAACTTGGTGTAAATTTGTGAATTTTGGTATAATTAATCAGATTTGTACCAAAATTCGTAAATTTACATCAGGTTATACACCAGTGTGCTACTTGAGACAGTTCCACAATCGAAAAATAATGATTCTCAAGAATTATATACCATTACTACGAAAAAGTTGTTCCCCATAAAAAATACATGGAAAACTTCATGGGCTTTGAGGCAGTTCTAAATATTTTTTTTTAAACAAAAAACATAGGTATTTTTTTATTCCATTTAAGAGTATCTAGGCAGTGGGAGCTCAATATTTTACATCCCCCCACGCGTATATTTTTGAACCACCCTCATGTACCTAGTATATAAAATATTTGTTTCACTTAAGTAAATGAATGCAATTGGACTTTCCCCATCACTTTTAGAGTGATTTATAGCCCAGTTATGCATACTTAGCTTTGCATGAGAGTTGTCACATAAGAATCTGTTAAACGCAGGGACCGGAAATAAGAGTCTTTTTTCAATTTTTGAATAATAAAATCATACATAAATGAACATCGTAGAAAAGTTTTGATTACACCATTATGATTTTTAGGTGAACTATATGCAAAATATTGTATGATTTTTAAATTTTTGATTTTTATATATTTAGATCAAAAATAAGAGTTATTTTTGATTTTTATATATTTAGATCAAAAATAAAAGTTATTTTTGATTTTTATATATTTAGATCAAAAATAAAAGTTATTTTTGATTTTTATTTTTTTTAGATGAAAAATAAGAGTTATTTTTGATTTTTATATTTTTATATCAAAAAATAAGAGTTACTTTTGATTTTTATACTTTTATATAATATACTTTTTTATAATAATAAAAATCAATTCAAAATTCGTGAGAGATTAAGAAACATATTATGTCACGAATTTTTAATTGATGTTTATTTTTGATATAAAAATATAAAAATCAAAAATAACTCTTATTTTTTGATATAAAAATATAAAAATCAAAAATAACTTTTATTTTTCATCTAAAAAATAAAAATCAAAAATAACTTTTATTTTTGATCTAAATATATAAAAATCAAAAATAACTCTTATTTTTGATCTAAATATATAAAAATCAAATAAAACTCTTATTTTTTGATTTTTTTTGATAAAAGTCATAAGAGTTACGGTCCCTGGTTAAACGGGCTTTGCGTGTAAGCGGTTACCCAACGCACAACACCTTACATGTAGAATTCTGTTGTGTTTTGATTTTTACGTAAAAATGGTATAGCAGTGCAAGTATATGCATAACTGGGCTATTACAGTGTTCTACTTATGTATGTGCACTCCCACGTTGTTTGGCGAAAACTAATTTTTTAATTGTTCAATTAATACTACTTCGTACAGTTAACAGCAATGTCACCCTTACCTAAATATTTGAAGTAATTTAGGTATAATTACATACATATTGAAAAAGTATAAAGTTAAATAATAAGAGGCCTGTCGGTTTGTACGTCAACTAGATAAGTATAGTCCGTTATGCTCGGTTGAATAATAAAAACACGCAGTTCATAGTCATAAAGGGGAGTGTCACATTTGCATTTAATAATGTTTTAATAAATTGTATATGTATTAAGTTGATGCATCTTTGTACAGATGTACCATGTATATACTACTTATATGTACATGTATCAGGGTGAATCTCTCTTCATACAAAAAAAAAAAAAATCGGTACTGTTTTTTCATCGGAAATATAAAATGTAAAATGTATATATTTGAAAATACCTCCAGAAATCCGAGTTTTTTTAATAAATAAAATTCGTTCTCGAAGATTTTATCTTAAAATATCTGCATAAAAGTGTTGGTAGAAGTTAAATTATAATACATTTTATAGTTTCGATCCCTATTTAAAAGCAGTTTCGGCAGCACTAGAATTAGTTGCGTATATGCCGCGATATCTGAATTGGGCATTCCCGTGAAACTGATACGGCTGTGTAAAATGGTGTTGAGCAATACCACCAGCTCCGTCAGAATAGGGAAAGACCTTTCCGAGCCGTTTGCAACCAAACGGGGTTTCAGACAGGGCGACTCCATTTCATGTAATTTCTTTAATCCGATGTTGGAGAAGATTATAAGGGCCGGATACTCCATGTCTTGTTAACACTAACCTCCGGTAAAACATTGTTATCGACGTATTCGACTCCATTCATACAACACGGAGTCGGTAACGTCGATAACTATGTTTAACCGGAGATTAGTGATAACCAGACATTGAGTAACCGGCCCTAAGAGCTGCAGAATTGAACCGCTCAGGAAAAATTTTTTACAAGAGCAATTGCTGGTGGACGCCGATGACATCGACATCATCGGTAACAAGAATCACGAGTTCTGGTGGTAAACGAGGACAAGCCGAATGTGAAATTCGTATTATGGCTATGCAACCATGTCGAAATTTTCGTTCAGCATCGAATTTTCCGTCGAACAGAATTCTGCTTTCCATCTGTAGCGAAGTGTTAGAAAATTGCGAAAAATTTATGATTTTGCATTTGTTTTCTTACTTTTTGGTGGCTAGATACTAATTCTAAACATTTTTTTTTTAATTTCATGCAGGTCTAACGTCGTGAATACTAAACACAAGCTCGAAAGGCTGGTTTTATTTATGAAAGAAAATCCCAGTACTCAGTTGGCACGATCTCTGATAACAAAATCATAGAGCTGTTGATAGTTTTAAAATATTTTAATTAAATTTGGTTCGAGAGCATTGTTGGTCCCGATTGGCGTCAGTTGGCACAAAAGTGACACGACTGGCGTGCTTTGTTGAACCCGGCTTAAATCTCTTAGGCAGCCCCAAAAAAGAGAAAGAAGAGGAATTGTAATGAAAAATTAATTATAGACCAGTGGGCATCTCAATCTTTAACGGACATAATACTCGAATGAAAACAGAAGAAGGTACGAAGTCTCATCGAGACC